CGCTGCTGCCGAAGGGACGGCAGGAAGGGCTGCGTTCGGGGCACTCGGTGGTGTGATGGGTGCGTTCTCCATAGGCGATCGGATCTTGAACCCGCTCTGACTCCCCTCGTCGAGGGAAACCGGTGGGGAAGCCAGGTCCAGAGGAGCCGGAGCGGGCGCTTTCGGAGAGGTGCTGCTCTCGGCGACGGTTTCACGCACAGCCACGACAATGTCAGCAGCTGCAGCCTTGCTGGCGTCAGAAGCGCTCGGCTCCATGGATGCCTGAGCAGTGATTTTAGTTTGCTTTTCCTCCTTTGAGGCTTCTTCGGGTTTTGCCTTTACTTCGTTGGCGGGGGGTGACTTGCTCTGCACCCTCTCCGGCTCGAAGGTGTTGACTTCAGTGGCGTCGCCCTTCCTGCCCACACTCTTTTTGCGCCTCTGCCGCGTGGTTTTCTGACGACCTTTTTCCTTCCGAGCAACTTCAGCCTCCTGCAAGGTCTCTGCCTCCTGCGCAGAGTTAGAAGATTCGCTGAAGCTGACTTCAGTCTCCTTGCTTTCCGTCTCTACCGCTGACAGGGCAGAGCTGGGAACTTGGCTCGACGGCAGCCTCAGCTTCTAGGATATTATTCACGGCCTGATCCGTCTCGGGCTCCATCTCCTCCCGAGGCGACGGTAACGCCAAGGGCTCTGCTGGGATTTCCGCTTCTGATTCAGCGGGATACGTTGGGGGCGCGGGAAAGCTTTCCGTCTCCCCAGAAATATCATTGATGATGGAGCCGATGGCTGCTGCCAGCTCTGTTTCACTAGCCTGATGCGCGGGTTTATCTCCTTCATCCTCCTGACGAACTTCAGGCACGTCTGCCGGTGCCTCTTTGTAGGCAGTGATGGATGGAGGAGTTTCGGTGAGTTTTGCGATATTCTCCACAGCCTGCTCGAGCTCGATCTGTTTTGCTAACTGGGCAGCTTCGGGAGACTGCTTTGGTTCCCGTATCACTTCTTTTTCCATTTCTGGGAATGAATCTTCGACCTCATTCTTAACAAAATGGGGTGGCAAGATGTCCTCTTTTGGAGGGCTCTTCATTTTGGCTGGCGACACCGCCACCGGCTCTGCCTCCTCCTCCGTCGGCCGCAAGGCGCCCTTGACTTCATCCACATTGAGGCGTATTTCGACATTTTTGAGACACACAGATGCTTTATCTACAACGGTTTTGGTATTTTTATATCTTCCCCTTTTGGATTTCGTAACCTTTTCTGGTGCTGGTTTCTTCTCAATGATCTCAACCGTGGGGATTTCTAACTGGTTTTTCTCCACATCCAGTTCTTTCCTATCACGTTTCGGCTCACTCACTGTCGGATCTTTCTCACTGGCTTTTGTTTTATTGCTGTTGTCACTGACGCTCGATTCCTGACCGCTTCTTTCAGCGGCATCTTCAGATTCAGCCGAAGCATCGGCTTTCGGTTCGTTCTTCCCTTTCTTCCCCGGTTGGCTGGTAGCAGCTGATGAGTGACCATGTGTCAGCTTCTGGGATCTAGGAGATCTCCAACCTTCTGCAGGTTTAGGAGCTTCCACAGCATCTTTCGTTTCAGCCTCCTCCACCTCTTGCTGTACCGGTTCTGTCTTTATCGGAGAGATCTCCTCCTCCGGCTTACGGCGGGTTTTCGGAGGTCGTCCCCTCCTCGGGGTGGTAGGAACGGTGGTTGTCGTTTCCTGCGGTTCCTTTTCCCCTCTCTTCCTGGTGGATCTAGTGACCTCCACTGAGTCCTTCACCGGAGATGGGCCTTCATTGTCCCCTGTGGTAGCGTAGACTGACCTTACGTTTCTGCGCCTTGTCCGGCCTATTGGCAAGCTTGGCTCCACGTTTTCCGGCTCCGCAGCAGAGCTAGGGGATTTAGCAGCGTTCCTTAAAACCTTCTCCGCTTCCACTTTCAGTTCAGAAAGTTTCTGCATCTCCCCACGGGGAGAGCTTGACCTTTTGAGTTTTTCCCGGTCAATTCTTTCACTCTTCCTCGTGACGGGCTTTTCCATCACATTAGCTGCAGCCGATTGCACGGGAGTCTTGGAGCGTTTGCTCTTGTAGGACTTTTTATCTTTTACAACAACCGGAGGTTCAACTTCCATATCATTGTCGGAAACGGGTGGCAGGACCTCAGCAGCCGCCTCCACCTTTTGACTCGCAGTAGCATCAGTGTTGGCAGAAGGTGGAGGATTTTCTTCTTTAGGCTCGGCAGCCTCATCGGACTTCTGAACCAGCTTGGGCAGAGCTGGAATCAACGGGGCACCTTCAGGCTCTGGATCTACGCCGATATCCGCTTTGGAAAACGAAGCTCCGGGAGTAGGGGGCTTGGTATCCAAGTATGAAGGATGCTCCGTTGCTACAGCGTCTTCCTCTGGTGGCAGGGTTGTAGCAACAACTTCTTTACTCGCCTCTACGACTGGTGGGGGTTCGGTTTGCTCAGGTGGTTCGATTTTGACAGGAGCAGCAAGTTCAGGAAAAGGTTTTTGTTCCTCTGCTACAGAAGCAGGTTCAGATGGTTTTTCTTCTTTTACAGAAGCTGTTTCCACCACGACCTTTTCGTTTGCCACCTTCTCAGAAGCAACCGGCGCTGGTTCCTGTGGCAGGACAGTGACTGAAGAGGGACCAACTGCTGAGGAAGTTTTATGTTCTGGTTCTTTATTATCAGGAACTGTTTCTGGTGTTTTCGGCCGGTTTTCTTTATCTTCCTGTTTTTCCACTTCTTTCGGTTTCTGATCTTTCTCCTTTTCTTTCTGCTGCATTCGCGTTAGTTCAATAAATCTACTGTGGAAGAGAACCACCGGTTCTTGCACCAGATCGGCCGCGCTGTTAGTCCCGTCGGAGGAAGACTGTCTCCCATACAATCTACCAGAAATGAAGTCGAGATCGTCGTCTTTTCTCTCTAAATGCTGCAGGCGCTTGGAGTCCTGTTCAAAGATTGAACTATGCAAAAACCGTGAAGCAAACAGTTCCTGTCTCTCCTGTTCCTCCTCTTTATGATCTTCTTTCTTATCATCCAGTTTTCCACCTTCTGAATCAGTCCTGATTTTTTTCTTTTTCATATACCAAGATGGAATAGGTCTTGGAGCCGAGTCAACCTTTTCTTTGTCTTTATTGTTTCTGAAACTAGCAAATCTCGAATCCCAATCTAGAAAGGACCAGTTTTCTTCTCTGGAGGAAGAGAGAGACTTAGCTCTTTCAAGCAAGGCCTTGGTGTCTGGGGTGATTGTCTTGTCCAATGCAAAAGAGTAAAATTTGTTTCTTTCTAAGGAACTTGACAGTCTTTCCTCTCTTTCACGTAACTTTTCTTCTCTGTCCCTTAATAAAAAAGATAACCGGGAACTCTCTAACAAGGATGAGGCTTTCGGGGAATGGGGTTTGTTTTCACCGTCATCATCCGAGTCCGAAGGCACCTCCCCGGGTTCCAGGTCTCGGACAGAGCGCTTGCGTATGCTGTCTCGTTTGACGATGCTGCTGGGAAAGCTGATATCAACCCTGCCAGGCTCCTGCTTCACTTGTGTTTCCCACCTACTCGAGTCATCTTCCGAACTCAGTACAGAGAGTTTTATTTTAGCCATTTCAGCCATCTGCTCCCTTCTGCTGGAATCGTGAGGATTAAATTTCAGCGAGTCCTCCCTCACAGTCATGTTGGAGTACGAAAGACCCTTTTCTTCTATTTTAGGTGACTCTTTGGTTTCCTTTAACGGCATTAGCCTCGGAGAATCGAGCGTGTCGTCATCTTCATGGAAAGGGAAGTGTCTGATACTAGGGGAACAAGATGTCCTTTCGGAGTCCTCACTCACCTGACGAGAACTCCTGTAGTTTCTTTCTCGTTTAGTGCTAATTTCAAAGTCAAACTGGTCAGTCTTTTTCCTTTTACTTGGTGGAGAGTCATCGGTGACGTCTTGCGGAGGTTTCCCCACCTCGTGGACCAAGCTCCGTCTTTCATATTCATCCACATCTTTCTTTGGACTGCCAAACTTCTCAGACTTCGCGATCTCCATTTCCAGCTGCTGTTTTAGCCTGCGACTTTGCTCCATCTGTTTCCTGTAGCTTTGTGTGTGGTCGATGTCGATGCCGATTTTCTCCTCTGTATCTGTCGACTGAGGTTTCTCTTGGCCAAGTTTATGGTCAGGTGTGTCTTCAGGAAGACCAGAATAATTCTTTCGTGCGTCCTCTCTCTCTGTTCCTTGGTCATCTAGTAGCTGTACCGGTTTATGCTGGGGTTTTACTGGGTTCAGTTTTTTAGAAGAGAGCTCCTGAACTTCCACCGGTTCATCGGCTGCCTCCATCAGCCTCGCCTGCAGATCCAGGTTGGGACGTCCGCCAACCCCACCAACGTTAAGAGTCTCCTGAATTTCTTTGGGACTAGTAACAGGAATAAGTCTTTCCAGTTTGAGTTTTTTAGATTCCCTTTTAAGCAACTCCTTCCTCAGGGGTTTTCTCTCCAATTCACCTTCCCTTAACATTGTCGCTTCTCGAGACGAAGCCGTTGCGTCAAGCTGCTTTTTCAAAGCCATGCGTCCATCTTCCTCATCTTGGCTGCTTCTTTTCACTTCCAGTTTTTGCCTCTCAGGCTTCAGATTTGCATCGGCAAAACGTCTTTTACGAGCTTCCAATTTGTCTAAATCTACTGCGTTGGCCCCCTCGGAAGTTTGCTCTGTCTTCAAGTGCTTTTTGGGTTTCAGTTTTCCCTCCTTATCCACCACCTCTACGTGACTGGCGAGGGCTTTCTCCTTCTGTACCTTGGTTCTGACGGGTTCCAGTTTAGACTGATCGGACTTGGTTTGCTCAGCCTGAGATGTCTGTGTTTTTTGTTCAAGAAGCGGGGACTTCATAGTGTCATTATCAAGCTTTGCTCTCAGTTTCTCCAAAGCAGGCTGATCGATAACTTTCCCTTCCTTTTCTTTTACTCGGGTCAGCACAACACAGGGCATTAGTTCCAGGCGGTTTTTAGCTGTCCCCTCTTTGTCACCTCTCTCTTTACTTTGTTTACTGTTGCCCTTCAGTTTTTCAGGGCTGGGCTCTCTCTCATTTTCTTGATCCGTTTCCGAAGACTGAGAGCTGGGCGAATGAATTTTTGCTTTTCGTTTTTGCTTATCAGTTTTCTCCTTTTCTAATTTTTCCGGCTTTTCTTTTCTCACCAAGCGTTTCTCCTTGTCGACTCTCTCCTGCTCAAAAGCACGCTCTTTCTCTGTTTTTTCATTTTTTGCATAACGTTCCACGCGGGCTTTGTCGAGCTTGTCATATCGTGGAGGAGACAGAGAGCTGCAGCTGCCGCTGCGATCTGATGACCTGCTGTAAATCCTCCTCTCTGAATCGCTCTGCAGCCTTTCCGACTGGGAAGGAGACGCTCCAGGGCTCTGGGGACGCCTGGAGTGCGTCGGACTCTGGCTGCGTTCAATCGGTCTCCGTTCGTGATCTCTGTCCCGATCGGACTCGAACCGTTCCCTCTCCCTCTCTCTCTCCCGTTGCCTGTAGCTGTACTCCCGGATGTCTTGCTCGTACGGATCGCCCCTGTAATCCCTGTATTCGCGTGGGTCGTCGTAGTAGCGTGGGTCGTAGTAGTCTCCTTGGTAAGGATCCCACTCGGCGTAAAATTCTCTGCCTCGAGCTGGGTATTCTCGCCGAGGATCTTCAGGATACGTCCCTGGAGTCCGAACGGTCTCGTAGTAAGTACGATCAGGTGCGTATTCGTAAGATCCTCTTCGTTCATCTCTGCTAAATATAAGAATAAATGGGTCAGTTTTCCTTCCCAACCAACGTACTGCATTACCATGTTCCTCGCTATGTAGGGAATCATTTAATGATCATTTCTTTGTACGCACATCAAGGCAACTGTACACAGCTGCCTACAGAGATTTAACAACAACGGATCATCGCGCGGTGGATTAAACACTTTGTTGGCTTACCAAATACTGTATGCAGTTAATTGGTCATTTCATGACAGCTCTGCCAAGTATCTTTTCACCATCCTCACTGCTTCTTTTTTGCCAAATTATTGCATTAAATAAAGGTAAAACCTTCACAGCACCTGTGCACCCAAGTGCAGTCTGTCATGGCGAAGACCACCCCATCTCCAGAACCTGAAACCTACCTCTGAAAACACGAGTCAAGTAAAAACCCATGGATGGAACCTCTGCATTACCAAGTAGTAAATGGGTCGTAAGATTTATTTAAAAATGCTAACCCCTGTAAGCGATCATTTCATTCCAAAATCAGCTCTTTCGCTGCGTGTGACACGCTGACATTGCCTATTTACAAGTCAACACAGAAAAAAAAAATCAGGTTGTTCATGAGAGCAGGTGAATTCATGTGAAGCACTCGGCAAAACAAGCCCCGCTGTTAGCGTTATCATCTCAAAACCTCCAAACGGCAAAAACGAGCCATTTCTGACACTGAACGTGCCTCTTGGGCAGAAGAGTGGCACAGAGCTGGTGCTCCAATTCTCCACTGTTACAGAGCGTTCTGCACACTGTTTCACACACATTTATTTGGCTTCACAGTTCATGTTTTAGGTTAAAAGCTGGCAGGTTCCACCTTTTTAAGAAATGTACAAAATTGGAAAAGAACACAAAGAAACAAAACATGGAAGGCAAAACCCTCATTCTGCAAGTGAAGTGCGATGTTGTGAAAAGCGGCTGTGAAGTTCAAAAAATTAATTCTGGTTTTGTTCGGGGGGTTTTTTGTGGGTTTTTTTGCTTTTAAGGTCCTATTTCGACTGGCTGCAACTACAACCTAAGAGAACCTGGTCAGTGCAGATCTTGGCGTCACTGCAGGGGACCGTGAGCTGCCAGGAGGAGCTCAGAGGAGGACTGGAAGATGCAGAGTGACAAGACTCACTGCAGAGCTCGCTCAATCACTCCGTGATTCATTATTCCTGAGTATCTCGTAATGACTGTGTGAGCATAATGACAAAAGAAGACGAACGTGTACCCAAGGATCACGTTGTTCCAGAAATCAGTGTTCTACTCAGAATTATTTCACGGCGAAGACAAGCCCAGCTGACTCCTGTGCGTTAAAAGACACCCGATAATGCACTTTTCTGAATTTGGTGTAGCTCAGAGGAAATTATTCCTGACTGCTTGCTGGCACATCACAACATCTGGCAAGCACGGGGGAACACACACATTTATTTCCATTATGCAAATCCTGATTGCCAATTTCCAAACCTTCCTCGCTTTTCAATCTGGCAATTTTGCATATATGTCAGACCACTCTATTTTGCTGCAAAAACCATTAAATTTCTCTAGCGCGCAGGTACAATCAGCTTCATGCTGGGCTTACTCAGATGTAAACCAGAGCCCTGACAATTAAGCCAGCCTCTGAAGGTAATAAAAATGCACCCACACAAAAAGAAAACGCTCTGCTTTTCTGCCTTCACTGCAGTCATCAGTAATAAAAACATGGATGTTTATTCAGCCGTTGGAGGAAAAAAAAAAACCACAAAATGAGGAGTGTTTCTGTGCCAGGCTGCTCGCAGGCAGGGTCTGCGGAGATAAGTGGCGGTGCAGGGGGAACACGAGCCTCTGCAGCATGTGCAGAACAGCCAGACACCGTCACGACAGATGCTGCAGAAGGACATCAACACAGAACACATTTTTTATGTCAAATAGCAAAAAAACAACCCAAACCCCCTGCAGCCTCACTCGTATTTTCTTATTCTATCGAGTTAACTGTTGAAAAGGGGTAGGTGGAAGATGGAATTTTACCCTCTGCTCGACAGCTGAGCAGCAGCAGTTTCTCAGACTATATATACACCCATGAACATCCCCATTTCTCTCGAGGGCACAGGGAGGCGTGACAGGGAAGCTATTCTTTGCATTCCTAAGAAATGACAGATGACTCACAACTGTGTCCTGGTGACCCACCACAGTAACCAGATACTAAACATATAGATCGTGCAGATAGCCGAAACCTCCACCTAAGTACGAATTTCAGTAACCGACTACTCTTCAGATGTGTGATATCCTGTCTGCTTTCAGCTGCACAGCTGAAGCCTGACCACCTACGTTTGTTTAAAAAAAAAATAAATTGAAAAGATAAATGACATGAAAATACGACAAAATGTTGTTAATAAAATAAAGGGTAAAGTTGAGAGGAACAAAACTGATTTTGCTTAATAATTACGGCATGAAGGAAGTTCAACCGTACTTAAGATGATGCTGGAAAAGTAAAAGACTGTAATAAAGCTACTATAGATACATGCCTTCTTTCTGCCAGCATTTCATAAAAGTCTCTGATGTCTTGACCCGTTTTCTCCATGGAATGATAAAATGCCAACTGACTTTCTCGATTTGCAAAGTCCACCTGAAAAATAAAAGGAAAAATCACGTTCAGGGAGAGAAAGATCCCATTTTGACAACATTTCACTGGCTGCTGGGGGTCTGAAGATGGGAGTAGAACTGAAGTCAAACGTTTCTCAGGACCGGCCCCACGCATCCCCAGGAATAAAACCTCTCTCTCCTAACTCAGTGGAGCTGCGTGGAGCGATAGAACTACCTCCTTACTGGGGGATTTTGTTGTAGCTGCAAGACCAGAGGCTTCTGTTCAGTGAACCAGCAGGAAAAACACACATTATTAGCGTGGTATTGACATTTTTAATACGGCAACCCCAATTACAGTTCCAAAGTCCCTTTTATCTCAACGCAGTGCTGCAGCAGGTCAGTGTTGCTATTCATCTCTTTCAGACTCCACGTTATTTGCCCGGGGTTATACAGCAAGAGCAGGGACGGGAAAGGAACCAAGCCTCCTGAATTGCAGCTCCCTGTTCTAACTGATCGAAGAATTGGTGTTTTCTAGCCAAGGGTGGCATTATTAAGAAACTAATGGCATAGCTAATGCACAAAAATTAAGGATGAGAAAGGATTTAACTACATGTGTTCCACATAATGCAATTTTTTAACATTCTAGTTCCTTCTTATTTATAAAACTCAGCCTAGGTATTTGTATAACCACAGCAGTGGAGCACAGACACACATGCATTCTGGGTGTTGCTCATTCGGAAGTTGCTAAGCAGCAAGACCCACAAACACAAGATATGAAACTTTTAAATGACTGCACATTTTATTGCGTAGAAAAGGTTATTTAACGTGTTTAAAAACTTCGGTATATCCAACTCCTAGCCCCACCAGGCGTGGAGCAGCTACGTTAACACACCAGATGAGAGATCATGCTGGAAATCATCACCCATTATTGAGGAGAGGAGAAAGGAGGAGGAGGAAGATAATCCAGAGGGTTGTCTGCCACCTTACACCCCAATTAGTGGAACTGATGGGACAGTCGTGACAGGTATTACCACGTTCACCCAAATCCAAGACATCCCTCTAAATGTTAAGTGTTGCTCCAAGAAAAAGTACTTACTCTTTTTTAAAGTACTTTATAATTTTTTTAATATTTTAAAAAATCTGTTACAAGGAAGGAGCTGCCATCACAAGAGCAGACTGCACACTTGGGTTGCCGTACCCGATGACTGCAAACCACCGCGATCACCTTGGCCACGTCGAGAGCCTGGCCATCGGCGCGGAGCAGCTGAAACACAGCCTTGTGTCATCCCAGAGGAACCCACCCCCTCAGATTTCACCTTTCCAACACGGAACCGGACCAAAGTTTGCCTTGGATTCGGGTAAATGAGGTACTAACACGGACACCAACACTCAGGAGCTTAGAGAGACAAGTTCAGCGAAACAAACGGCAGAATACTGGAAAAGGCTTTATAAGTAACAGTTCCAGATACCCTAACGTCTTGGTAAGCCGAGAATAAAAAAAAATTAGTTTCAGCCTTCGATATCTGGGACCTGTGTGTCCCACTAAGTATTCCTTTTGACTGGCAGTCTGCAAATGCCAGCATTTAAGGGGTAAGGCCTCAATACAATTTGTTTCTCTTTTTTTTTATTATTTTTGTTTATTTTGGAGGTCATTCTGCACACCTTAATTTTATTCCCACCGATTTTCCTCCCCTTGGTCTCTTTTACAGCTGCTTGTGCATATTCAATCTCATTGTAGAGAACCAGGGCCATGCCTTTTAAGCGGTCAAACACCACCTGTAAAAAACAAAAAAACAAAACAAAAACCAAATAAGAGCCTCATCCACAGGACTTAATGTCAGTCCCAACAAAATCCTAAGTCATGAGGATACCAGTAAAGAAATAATTTTTAGCAAGGTAAATTTCCAGGCTTTTCTGATGAGGCATATCGTAATGAAGAGACAATAAAAGGACACGGGACTGCTTTGAATTGTGGATATTGTGGCTTGAGGTATATTATGCCTTTATTTTGTTTTTCTGTATTTTACTTTTAAATTTTTCTTTTTCTTTAGTGACTGACTTTTGTCGTTTCTCTCTGTTTACTTTCAGATTTTTGAAAAATTTCCAATGTGTTTTAGGGGGGAAAAAAGGTAAAGGGAACATTTAATCCCAAAATGGAAACAATTTCTGTAATCACAGTCTGCAGTACCACTCGCCAATTGCTGAATGCCCAATTTCCAAATATTAGCTTCCTTTAGCAAGATAAACGTATTATTCAAGCAACAACAACTACAATAAAGAATGTCAAAGCTGCAACACAAACCCACAAAAATCCTTGAAGGAGGCAAGACCCTGGTCCTGCAAAGACTTACACACGTTGCTTAATTTTAAGCACATCAATGTCCAACAGAAATATACGGGACAACTCACACGCTTAATCTTAAGCACATGCGTAAATCTCTAGTGCTGACCCACGGCGGGGCAGGTAACACGCTCCCACCTTGGGATATGGGTATGTTGCGCCATCAGTGACTTCTTTCACATAATTTTGTCAGCGTGACTATCCTAACTGCTTTTAAAAAGTCTTTTTTTTTTTTTTGGTCTGATGGGAAAAAAAAATTAGAGTTATGTCTAATTATGTAATTAGCATGCATGAGCGTTACTACGTAATTAGACTGCTGTTCCTCCAGTGTCAGCCTTACAAAGAAATTTGGTTGGGGAGAGACTGTACTGCACAAGAGCAACAAACGGTTTGCAATACTCATTATCTCGGCTCATTTCAAATCTTTTTTTGGTTTTCAAAACACCAGAAGCGACTGCTCGATTGGATCAACAGGATGCAAAGCTGCAGAGCCCTGTTGGCCAAATTCCACCCCAGAGAGAATTTCTCTACCTGAGCTATAAAGCCCTGGACAGTGGGGGTTGAAAGGACAGGATGGGAAGAGAGGAAGACAGTAACAACGTCAAACCACACACCAAAGCCTCCCACCTACCTTTACCACAGGCCCGTATCGGCAGAAATGTCGAGTTAAATACTGATCCGTAACGTTTGTAGAAAGACCATCTAACCACACGCAGTTTGTAGGCATGCTCTTTCCAAAACCCAGCTGAACACAAAAGGGCAAAACTTCCATCAGTACAATTCACAGGCGTTTCAACCAACCGAACAGAGCACGCCTAATTAATGAGTTATTTGAAGAAAGCTAGTCGTTTGTACGGATTTTCTAAAATTAGCATCTCGCGCAGGTGCAAGCAAGACAAAAATCAAATGGCAATTAATGAAAATAATTCTGCGTGCTTAAACAAATAACAGTGTTTGACAACATTTGGTTCTTCTACAATTGGAATGCATCTGAACAGTGACAGGGTGACATCTCTGGGGACTGACAGTCTCTGTTTATCATCGGTGCCAGCACAGCTTCCCAGCACAGCCTTCGAGGCCAGGGAACGTCAGTCTGCTCAATCCTGGGGCTCCTTGCTGAGACAGCCACCAAAAGTGCTGATTCATCTCAATGATGGTGGTGGTCGAAAGCATCTAATCTGATCTATGCACTAAAAAACATCTTCCATAAACTAAGCTGCTGCAAAATATCCTACGATGCTGGAAATGGAAGTAACGAGGAGAAGGATACAGTCCACAGGAAGATTTCTTTACCTTGAGCCGGTTATTTCCAAGATATTCCCCGTCCATTTTCTTAATTGCTTTGCACACACTCGCTCAGGAATGCATACTGAGGAACACCGTTCACCTTCTTAATGTCGATATCCTGGGGAAAAACACAAAACAGAACGAGCGCCAGTCAGCAACAGGCGGAAAGGACACTCAACAGTGTCCATTAGATCCAAGTGGAATTTTTTTGAGACACATGGCCCAGCAAGCTCTCTTTAATTAATATTTTCTTCAGAGAGAGGATTTAAACAATAGTAGGCGCTTAAAAACTTCACTGTTCTTGTTGTATCTCATTCAATGGCAAAATCAAATCCTTACTGACGCAGGGAAAGCTCTTCACGCTGCAGATTTAAAATTCAACCCTGCAGAAGCAAGCCTGACCTGATCAACAAACAGTAGCTTTCGTTTGTTAATATTATGTCAAGAAGTGACAACTCAGAATCAAAGAACCATGGATTAATTTTTCGCTCGCAAAGGCTCAAGAGAAAACAACCTGCTCCGATCCTCATTTCCGAGCCAAGAGGCACGCGGGGTTTCTTTTCCAAACAAACATGATCCATCCTGTTCCTAGAAACAGAAAGCGATGCCGGACTCGGCTCCTGAACTGACTTGGCACTGACATGGCAAAGGCAAAAAAAAGATTTTCAACTTCTATCGCTGCTGGCATTTGATCCCGAGCCACCAGAGGCCCATTCAAAAGTGCAGTCACGAGAAAGCTCCGAAAGCCTCACAAAGGCTGATTCTAATCAATGTTAAAAACTCAGCAAGCTTGGAGTTGACATTTGGTTAACATTCAAGCTCAGCACTAGTACTGGCAAATGTACCGAAAGCCTCCGAACAAACTCATGATATTATGATTCATTCCGAGCTGAAAATAGAAGGTGGAATGTTTTGTTTTATTTGTTTAAATAGCACAAGTTTCCTCTGGGAGCTACATGCCAATGCCAGCACACGAATTTTAAGCACAAACGTTCCAACATCCAGGACAGACTAATTTCATGGTTAATAAATTTAGGGACAAGGCGGTAGTTCGATACGGTCTCACCCAAGAGCTCTTTATCTGGGAAAACAGAAGTAAACAGGGAGATTTACACAACTATTAGACTTCTATAGCCCTGGCCTAATGATTTAAGTGGAATACTAATAGAGGACTACACTTCCGAGAGTCTGAAGTAGGACTGCTGCAACCGTGGCAAATTATACTTGACCACTCAGCCTGGGCAAGCAATTCCTACTGACAGGCAAATAAAATATCATTATTTTGCTCATTACCCACCAGAAAGGTTATAAAGCTGGTCCCTTTCGCACCTGAGCTTGTAAGTTTTCATGGAAATTGTGCAAGGCAGCAGCGCTGCCGAATTCCACCCAATTAATAACGTTGACAAGACAGCACTATTTCACAGAAAAGCCAATTTACAAGACAGCGCACTGCTGCTGATAAGCATCTTTATCAGGACAGCGCTGCTGGCCTAACGTTAGGAAAGGGTTTAAGCCGCAGACACCGCGTGAATTCACAAATCTGTGCTGATGCCAAGGATGCAGTGGAGGCTAAATGAACGAGAGCTGCCAGACATCATCAAATGTGAATTTTCTGTTTATCCACATCGCATACGGAAGCACATCTCCCCTTCTTGTTGGGGGGAAGTATGTATGGGGTTCATGGTATGCGTGACTGATACCCCCGCAATGGTTACAGAAGCATTTCAGAGCAGAATGAATAAGGCACAGCATGTTCATCAGCAGCCACAGCTCCTAGAAAAATATTGTACAGCCAGCATATGAAACAAACTATCGCTGATGAAGTCCAGATTCCATTAATTAAACTGACCGTGGATAGTTACTTTATTTTTCTGCGAAATTTCTCTTAAATGCAATATTGATAGGACTGGATAGAAAGGGGCATGAGAAGAGAAGAGGGGTACGACTGCTGCTCTGTCTCATCCACATCCGCCTGCTCAGCTGAAAACCCAAATCCCCTGTGTGTCATCGCTAATCCATCTGCCCCGCGCCTCTTCTGCCCTACGGCATGGACCGGGACAGCTGATGGCTACTTCCACATGCAGCAACTAAACCCTTTCATGTTTCAGAAATCAACAGGAAATCGAGACTTCACAGAGCTGTAATGATTCAACATGAAAATAACATCCCAGCTACATAGTCAGGCTTTTCTGCAGCCACTCTGATGCTATGATTTACCAGTGCTCACAGCATTTTACAGGTCTGTACGGAAAGAACGGGCAACGACACCCTAACACAGAGAATTCACATACCACAATCCCACCAAAGCGCTGGAAGATGTTGCGAAGGTCGTGGTAGGTGGTGGTTTTCTCCAGGTTGCCGATGAAGAGAGTTCTCGTTGCTTTTGGGTGAAACTCATCTATCCTTTCATCCAAAGGACGAAATTCATTCTCGCTTTCTGTTTCTAGAAGCAAAAGAGAAGAAGAAGTTTGTAATGCACGGAGGCGTTTCTCATGTGGGTTCAGTTCATGTTGATTTGTTTGTTCAAGTCTACTTCCTGACGAGCAGACACGATCTGAACGAGAGTAACCAACGTCTGACAAAAATACCCAGCACTACACTTCAGAGTTGGTATTTATGTGCAATCTGAAATCCCTGCATCACACCACTGGGCAAGTGCTAGGAATTTGTGCATCCTCGGGTGAAAGGTAGTGGCATTTTCCAACCACTTCTCTAGAAATGTATCCTTTTAACAAGCATTAATGCCTGAATACTTGAGTTCAAATAAGGCTGCACTGTGCTCGGGGAACAGCACACGGAAGAAGTTTGTTTTCACAAATTTTTAAACAAGCAGCTGAAGTACAGACTGAGAACCACGTGCTCAGTGCTGTAGTTCTCACTGGTTGGTCATTCGGGCTATGCTGCCCTAGCCTCAAAAATGCAGCCATCGTTAGCTGCTTTAATTAAAAGCAGAAAAAACAAGCCTGTGAGGACTCGGTGCTATGATTACACCACCCACTGGCTTCTGCTCTGCTGAGATGTGGAAGATGAGATTGTTTCTCCCAGCAGCCAGCAGATCCCGCTGTTTGAGGGGATGGCAGGTTCTCCTTCTCTGAGGTTTAAGACTGGAACTCTCTCCCTGTTTGACCTAAGAGCATCCATTCTCCTTGCTCTGGAATTTATTCTGGCCTATTTCCCAGTTTCTTTAAATTATGTTTCTGCAGAAAAGCAGTTTTAACATTTCCTCCTCCTATGCTGCCTCTTTGCAACAGCCTGTAGATATGCCCAGACTGGTCACGCATTCGGTTCAAGGGCATGGACCTTACCTGGTCCTATCCAGGCCGTGACTTCAATCTGCATGCCAAAGAAAAGTTTTCCTTTTGAGGCATTTAGTGCTTTTTCCTGGTCCTCCTGCTGTCGGAAGAACACCAGTCCATACCGTTCCTCAGAAGCCCCGTGAATCTGCACCGACGTCACCTTTCCGTACTTCTTGAATTCGTGGAAAAGTCCATCTTTAAGGCTTGTATCTAAACAAACAAGTAAACATTAATACTATAAAAACATATTTTTTACCAACTTAGTAGCACCATAGAAGACATGAAGAAATCTCATCTTCCTTCCGAAATGTGACTTCACCCAGTTTAACCTGAATCTCAGTGTTCACACAACTGCCTTTTTAATTCCGGGTGTTAATTTTGCCAATGTCAAAAGCTTCTGGCTGATCCTTCTCTTTGCCTGGATTTTTAATCCCAAGAAACTAGACACACGGGGTTTTACATCACTAAAGCTGGCAGTGGATGGTGACTACTTCTAAGAGACAACCAATTCAAGATGAAGAAAAAAATAAACTGTGTTTCTTCAGTACTAATCCCACACAGATACTGCATAGAGCAGTTTTCCAAAACTGGGATGAGGCACCTGGAATAGAGATCGAAGTTACACAGCATGGAGTTCAGTCAACTCAGGAAGATAATGAGACAGGATTCATCAGATTTTGCACAATCTGACTCAAGACAACACAGCCTACCTGGGATCTGGGGGATATTTACCTCGGTGTTGTGTCACTTCAAGGAATATTACAGAAATAAAATCAATAGAAATAATATTAACATTGTAAGGTATGCTGCTCACAAGGTTAATATATTTTTTTTTGTGGGATCTCTCATCTCTCTTGCAGTCAGCACAGGGAACAGAGTGACCATCTGCACTCCTCAGCGCGTGGTTTCCTGCGGTATTTACCACGCAACATGCAATGCCATTACAAACACGCTCAAGGGTGTTTTACAGCGCTCAACACTGCAAAAGAAAACTCTCAAGTTCTTGTATTATACAAAAAAGAAACTGAGGCACGGTGAGAATAAAAGGTCCCAAGTTTTAAGTGAAAAATTTGAGATGCTTCAGGTTTTTCCCTGGGGAAATCCACGTTACTGTTTCAAAGCACCAGCTCCGGTAGCTGTAAGCGCTTGAACCCAGGGACTCAGCTAGGGACCTGCAGGATTCCTCACAGATGGTCACTAATTAAGCAATTTTCCCACTGTCACACGAGAACCCAGGCAGAAACAGAGGGAATCCTGCCCTCAAAGGCTGCTGTGTGATTTAGCCAGTCCCTAACCTGCCTCCTATTCCTTTCTTCCCCTGTTTCACTTTCCCAAGTGAATTTACCTGTTGAGCGCACTGGAAGATTTTGAACCTTGATCCCAAAACTTTTCCGGGGTTCATCTTTCTCCAGAGATGGAAGCAGCTGGGATGCGGGCGCTGGGACGGCTGTCGACTGAACTGACCGTGCCGGGGACTCGTCGCTCGAGCTGCTGCTGGAGTCACTGCTATAAACAGCATTAAGAAAATGACAGATGAGTGCATGGAGACGCAAAGCGACTGGAGGACACGGGTATTTTATTTAAAAAGCAAAATTTCAGAGTTTTTGCTCGTCTACAGGCATCCCTCTCTCCTTCGCCTGATGCAGAAAATCCTCTTCCTGTAACACAGCCCAGTCATAACCAGGAATTTAGAGTCATTCTACAAATATTCTCCTACAAAGCCCTCAGAGGAGACAGTCAGGGAACAGAAAATGGGTAGAATGTCAGACAGATCCTGTTACAGCCCGTGACAATGGTGGAGATTTAATTAATTGTAATACAACGTTGTAGCAGCTTAGGAGCTGTGTGGGAATACTGGAGAAATACAGACAGGGTACACAGGTCTGCCAGAGCCTAGAAATTCTTCCCATTGCTCTCCCGTACAAGAAATAAATATTATCGCACTCTCAGGTGTTGCTGTCAATCCCAGAGTCGGTCGTAGAGTTCTCCTTATTGCCTCTTGCATATCTTTAAAAAAAGATCCATACCTCTGATGATATAAAAATCTCATGCAAGAAAATCACAGCAAGTTTTTTTGGTCAACTGCTGGAGAATAACCTGAGCAGATGTGTACGGACTGGCAAATGCTGTTTACAGGCTCAACAGCCAACTTCAGGGTATCAAGAATTCAGACCCAAGAACATCTTTTATAAACAATAATTACGGCAGAACAGGATGTGCATATTAGATCATACAGGGAGTCAATCTAGTCCACCGACTCTTGACGGTGCAGATCGTTAGAGGCTTCACAGGAGAGTAAGAAACCCAGAGAATAATGTTAGTAAAGCTTGCCCAGTGGGGACACGTCATCTTCTTCAGTGGCTGATTTCTTCCCCGAGGCACAAGGGCTTATAACATCGCTAAAAATAATTTTGTCTGACATAACCCTGGAGACTCTCATTCTCCATTACACAAGCAGCCTTCTAAAAAATTCCGCTGGAATTTTAACTTGGAGGCTAGAGGGGGGAGATCTGCCACGTACAAAAATAACCCTGTCATTTCTAAATTTGCTGCTCTCCATTACATTTTTCTGTTCCTCTCCACAGCATACCAGAAAAATGATAAGCATGTTTATCTTTTTCTTATCTTAAATTATTTGATAGGCTGCTTATATTCCCTCTTTGCATTAAACCATTTAATTTTTTCTATTCTTTTCTCAGGGAAACCATTTCAGGCTCCTAGTAATTTTCATTATTTGATTTTGTGACCTCTTCTACTATACTCCTTTTTCAGGAGTGCACAGTTTATATAACGCCTGGTTAGCAGTGACAGAGTAATTTTTCTTCAAACATTCCAGAAAACTGGTTTTCTTTCTGAAGATCTTAGTGTAACAAGACCTGTGGCACATTAGTAAAAGCCCCTGGGCTCCGTCCCCATTTTATTTGGAGGCACAGAAGAGAGAGCAATAATCTCTGTCCCAAAATACTTACAAACAATCGGAGGAGGATATAAAAACACACCAGACCAAAACAAACCTAACCAAAATGGTCAAAAAATACAGAAGTAATAATAAACATGAGAAACTCTCCTCCCAGCCTCACCCCCTCATTACAACCCTCCCGTCCAGTTGACATCCAGCCACTTCACACGTTGGTGCCTTTCCCACACACTCTCCTCCTACTCCTCCGTCCCCGGAGGAGGAAGTTCAACGTCGCTTTGGGAAAGGAGAGAAAATAAAGCCATGCCAGAAAAGGAATGAAAAGGCGAGCCCTTCCTCCTGCCCTCCTCTTCCCAGGCAGGCTCTGCTCCATGCCCTGCACCACCCAATCTCCCAGTTCATATCTAATAACGTTTCCCCTTCCCGTCTACAGCCCCTTGTGTTTCTCAGCTCTGAATTTCCTACCACCAACACGCCCTCTCACAGCTTTTCTTTCTAAGTTACTAAACTGCCTTTATTTTTACCTCACCTGCATGTGTGCAACCTGCTTGCACGTCCTCTTCGTTAATAAACTATTTAATTACTAAAAGTGAGGCACGCTGCAATTCACTCTCCCATCTTTTGCCCGTTTATCCCATTCCTTCTGCCTCCCACCTTTCTGCTAACTCTGGCAAAGCTGCATCACCTCAATTCCTCACTAAACTCAAGTTCTTCTCTACAGCACGTCGGGAACAGGACAAACCCGGCCCCATGTGAACAGTCCTTCAGTACTCCCAAGGGGTAACACCACCAATCGCTTCCTACTATGAAATAAATCAGCAAAAAGTCGAGAAAGTTCTTTCAATACACAAATACAGTCAGAAAATGTGTGTGGGGAGAAGCTGAAAATAATTCCCAAGCTGAGAGCAGCACCATGTGGTTTACCATGCCCCCGGGGATGGCTAAAATCAGATTTTAGGGCTGCAGCAAGACTCTGCCCTGAGCACATTCTTACCTTCCTTTCTCATGTCTTGATGCTTGGTATTATGATCAACTACGTGCTTCCTAAAGCGTTTTAAATATTCTGCTTTGCTAAGATTGTATCTTTTAAGAGGCAGCACTGAATTTCTATTTAAGCAGTGCTTTTACAAAAACCGGCTATTTTTAGGGTTTTTTTTAATGAGGATGTTTCAAATATGGAACATACTGTTAAAATCACAGCGTTCCACTGGGGAAAAAAATATAATCTCCGGGTAACACCATAAGACCTCCAAGCAATGGAACAGCAGTCTAAAAGGGTGATAAATTCTGCAAGAGCTGGAATTCCATGCAACTTCGGGAAACAAGGATCTTGCTGATAATTTCCACTTCCCCCGGGTGTTTCAGGAATACGTGTCCCTAAGCAAGTCAAGACTTTCTGAGACATTCCAGAAAAGAAATTCACTATTTCCTGATTCTGTTTTTAGAAAGGCAAAAAAAAAAAAAAAAAAAGGCAACAAGAACAATTCCCCTTTCTTTAGGGAAAGCCTCATCGCTTTTCCAATTGAAGCAACGTGGATATAATAACTCAAAAGCAAGTCAAAGGTTTTACACTCTGTGAATAGGAGACTGATGGAAGAGTTAATTATAGCTGCTGTGTCATCCAGTTTTAGCACAGAGCAGAATCAAAATAAAGCATCTGACAGTGAATTATATGTCATCTCAAGCAGAAAAACAGAACTCCTTTTCAACTATTTCAGCTTTAAAAAGATACAAAACTAAAGCATGTAAGCTGCAGGAGGATACGTTCCCAGAATATTAAAATGAGAATATGGCTTTTCTTTTCCCTGTGAGTAATTTTGAAAACAATTGTCCTTTGCCAAGTCGCAGAAAATGAAGTTATTAAAAAGTCTTCTAGCAAAAATTAGTGCATAAGGCTTCTAGAAAAACAAGCCAGAGAAATTTTAATGTGGGAATACAACAGATAGGTTGAAACAACAGCTCCGGTATCCTCCTTACTGAAAGTATTTCAAGTAATCAATAGGTCTTGAGGCAGGCCAAAAATGGTGTCAAGAAAACGGCTTTGTAACTTCATTTTGTGCTTCCACTGACTATTAAACTCGCAATGATTTTTTCCACTAGCAGAGTGTGCTCTGGCACACAGCCTTTTCCCAACACGGGAAAACCTGCTCTTCAACATCCATGTAAACTCAGCGGAGCAGAATGCCAGCACGCAGAAGAACTAATCTCCTGAGCTGTCACAACACACGCGTTTCACAGAGAGGGAGCCTGCGCTGGGAATTTGCTTTTTTAAACAGCTCGGGTGTACAGCTTCAGTTGCCTCTTTGGTGATTTGCAGATTTTTTTCTCGTGACGTATACTCATTGATGAAGAACTTGAAGTTTTAACCAGGAAGGATTTCAGATGCTCTTTTGTCCAGCTTCTAAGATCAGTTTCATTCTAGCTTTTATCATAGCGATGAAGAATAGAGATTTTTGACTGTACTGTTGGCAAAATCAGATGGAAAATCTGAGCTATAAAGGAGATTGCTCTTTCTTTAATAAGAAAGCAGACGCAAAATCCTTCTCTTACACGTGCACTTTACTACAAGCACGGTTTACAAGCCCTTTTAAAATATTAACCTGCCTTCCATAATTGCTTACAAGTATATAAAGATGAGTGTGTTCTTACTCACAGTGCTTATCTATGTATCTATTTTCTACTAAACAAGATAAAATCATAATCTTTTAAGTTTTATCCATATGGGCTGAGTCTCAAAGACTCAACACGTAGGAATCCAGCAACAGGGTTCAGATCACAGAAACAAGCCCCAAACGCGCCTGGTTTCAGAACACTGCAGCTTCTTTAGCACACAGAATTCTCCTTCTCTCACTTGTAACTACAAAATTGACATTGCAAATCCTGCTGCATGCACCCTCTATAACCAGTCCTCATTTCCACAGAAATATCTCATTTTCAAGCAATTGCATGTTGGTTTAGTAACTAACTATTAAGTTACGCTCCGTTTCTGTATGAAAAAATGAAAGCACTTGAGCGAAGAATACAAAGTGCGCCGTTCTCTTTGTTCCCCAGCAAAAAGGAGATAAAAGAGAGACTCCAAACCAGTCGATGTAACAGGATACCCGCTGCTTTTTGTCAATGGCAGCTGCGCTGAACCGAGGGATCCCACAACCTGCCCTACCCTTCTGCAATTTCTAAAATGTGGGACAATCATCATTTCTGCAAATTGACTTGAGAACGGTGAGTCAGCTGTAAGGCTGGTGACTACCCTCAGGAGGGCAAGCAGGAAAATCCGTGGCCTTCATGGAAAATAAAGCAGAAAGAAGCATTAACACGCACTGTGGGCGATGTGCTGACAAACTTCACGTTTTAAAAAAACAAAACAAAACAAAAACAACTTCTGATTGTCAGAGCAAGTTCAGAAGCAAGCCACCTAAACCCCATCTGAAACCCTTTTCATTTTTCAAGGGAACATCTGCCAAATATCAGCAGATAAAAGAAGGACAAATTAAATGGATTTTTTTTTAATAGCTGCTTTCAAAAAATGTTTAACCAGAACTGGTGAATGATCCAGGATTCTTTTTACAGAAATATGCAGAGCGATCACCTT